GATCAGAAACTATATCGAAAAGAGTGCAGTCTTGAGATGAAGGAGAGCGATATAAGACAAAGAGAAAGGTGATAGAGTGAAGTGGTGCTAAACGAAAGCACATAAAAGAATAGTCTGAGTATTCGAACCTAGTTTCCCGACAAATGGGTGAGTTCTTACGAATGTAAATGCCCAGGCCAAGCATGTGACTATTGGAGTCTTTACGAATTAAAGGAAGATAACCATCAACACTAAGATCATGAGATGAGACAGTTGAACTCAAATTAGTCTCACAAAGAGCAAGTAGGTCTGGGGAACTTTGCAGGAGATAAGACTCAACAGAAGAAAAGTTACTTCGAAGACCACGAATATTAGTGAATGATAGATTTAGAGAACTTGGTGATGACGATGGATTGCTTAAGGAACTTGACTCAAAGCACAGATAGTACTCAGTACACTATTTAATAGTCCAAGCAAGTGCCTCATTACTACTAATAAACCCTAAGCCGTAACAAAGGGCTCTAAATGTGGCCTCGACAATGCACACCAAAAGTACAAACAGGGACACCATCCATGCGCAACATGGAACTGTTAATACTCTGATATTTTACAGCTGTTGATGGAATCAGCCTCTCTAAGAGCTACCATAGAGTTCGGGAAACCTGACTACCTGCCGGCCTCATAACCATATAACTGAGTTTTAGAGCTGTACCCTCATTAGGAGATAATAGTATGAGTTGCCTAGTCTTAAAAACAGAGACACAAGCAAAACCCATGCAGTGATTCAAGACGAGCCAGCATTCAACAACCTAAACTGGAAACAATATATTGTAAATACATCTACGCCAGCCTAATAGATGAAGAAGGGGTGCGAAGCTGGTTAACAGATAGAATCTGTTTACCCCTTAAGTCTTTGCCTAGGAGGCCTTCTACAAGACAGTAGCTGGATGCATTTAACATCTGCCCAAGATGAGTATTTTTTATCGAGACACCATCTCTAGCCTTTACTCAACCAAGAGCCCCAAGGCAGGGGTTGTTTTAAGTCAGAGTTGGCATCTCCTAGCCTTTGCCTAAAAAAGCATATCCCACAAGGCAGCAGGACATGAAACAGGTTGCACTGGGTTACATGTTACCAGTAGCAGGATAACCTGACCTGACATTAAATACTTTATATACCTTTTTATTTTATGTTCTTATTTACTATTTTATTATTACTAAAACTAAAACACATAAAAATAAAATAAAAAAATTACAAATTTACACTACTTTTAACACCACTTTGAAACTTGTAAGCTCAACAGTTTTAAAAATAATATTATCTTTATATAAAATTTGCAGACTCTTTATAATTAGGTATTAATTTTAAAGTGAGATAAAAATCCTTAGTTATTGTAATAATTGTAGCATAATAAGGATGTAATAATATTTCATCCTAAAGGTATATAAAGTAACGTATTCAATTTGTAAAGAATTAAAATGAGATAAATCTTTACAAACTGAATATTGAAAAAAGATTTTTCCTAGAATAAAAAATGTTTTGAATAATTGTAAAAAAATTCTGACCAAAAATCTTTTATATATGTTAATTACAGGTGAATTGAGAATATAATTGTATTTAAAAACCTTTTATATATGTTAATTACAGGTGAATTGAGAATATATATTATATCCTCACTTTTTTGACTCTTTTATTTGTGTTTTTTTTTTTAATGAACATGAAACATTGGTAAAATTGTAATGTTTCAAAACAAATGGAACTTTTATCTTAAAACAGTTTATAAGTAAAATAGCACTGTAATTAAACTTTATTTTCAAAATATTTTAATGATTTTTGTATACAAATATTTTTTTTGTTTGTAATAAGTGTTTTATGTTATATTAACTAACTGCAGTCTTGATTTGCAGAAGTTTGTAATAATATAGTAGCTTAGAAGTGGCGAGATGACTCGTAGTAAATATATTAGTGTTTTTAAATTAAAAATAATTGAAGATTATAATAATGAAACTACACAAAATGATTTATGTAAAAAGTATAAAATATCAAAAGCAGATTAATTAATAAAAATAAAACGAAAAGAACTGTTGAAACTGAGCATTTAGGTGCACAACCAAAAAAAAGTACTCTACATACTGATCGTAAAATTATAGGTATGTAAAGAAAAACCCCATTTGCTAGTGCAAGAGATACAATTGATAAATTTCATCTAAATATTTCAGAAAGTACTGTATGAAGAAGTATGGATAAAGCAGGATTGTATAGTTATTGTGCAGCAAAAAAACCATTTATATCTGAAAAAAACCGAAAAGCACGTTTAGAGTTTGCAAAGGCTCACAAAAGTTTGACAAAAGAACAGTGGAGAAAAATATTATGGTCAGATGAGTCTAAGTTTAACATAAATGGTTCAGATGGTAAACGAAATGTTCAAAGGCCTGTTGGTAAATGATTAAAAAAAATGTAGACTATAGAAACCTTAAAACATGGAGGTGGCAATGATGGTTTAGGGGTGTTTTTCAAGATTTTCTGGATTGGGACCACTATGTTGCGTTGAAGGAATAATGGATAAACACATTTATAACAAAATTCTGGAGTATCACATGTTACCTTTTGCAGAAGAAAGCATGCCTCTGAAGTGGACATTCCAACAGAATAACAATCCAAAACACAAATCAAAAGTAGTTAAAGAATGGCTCAAAACAAATAAAGTTGATGTAATGCAATGGCATGCGCAGTCCCCTGACCTAAATCCTATTGAGAATTTATGGAAACAGCTTGATGACAAAGTACGTTTGCGTGACAAGTTTCGAAATGCAGAAGAATTATAACAAGGACTTCATAGTGCCTGGTCACAGATAAAACAAGAACAAATTGACAAACTTATAGACTCTATGCCTCATAGATGTATTGATGTTATTAAAAACAATGGCTATGCCATCAATTATTGATTTTATATGCTTTTGATATTGAATTATTAAATAAATTTTTGTTCCTTTGAAGTATTTTTTGATATTTTCATTTGATTAATATGAGGTATTGTTAAAAGTTCCTTTAGTTTTGGAGTTTGAAATAATAACTTTTTTTTATTTTCTCCAAGGCTTTATTTGTATTCAGATGTTTTAATATATTTAACTTACATAAAATAGTTAATTAGACTATATTTTATTTAAATCAATAGTTTTTTGTATTAAAACTAAAATGGTAATAGGCTTAATATTGTGTTTTTATAAATTTCTACATGTGTTACCTTAGTTATGGAGGACAGTGTATATATATATATATATATATATATATATATATATATATATATATATATATATATATATATATATATATATATATATATATATATATATACACTGTATATATATACACTGTATATATATACACGTGTATATATGTGTGTATACAGTTTATCAATAATAATGTTGTAAGCACTCGTTATCTGAAAAGAGTTAGATCAATAGATCTATGAAGATGTTATCTTCAGAACTTGGAGAAACCATGAAAAAGGTACCATTTATTGGCCTGGTGAAAGAAAGGCATTGGAAGGCAATTTGGAGATAAAAATGTGGAAAGACTTTACACTGATCAAGTTTATAATTGAAAGTGGTAATATTTTTAGTTTTTTGTTTGTTTAGACATTTGAAAGGTGATTATTATATATAAGGAGCCCATCTGCAAAACGCGCTCAAAATAAAATTTTGGAGTTAACTCTGTTTTTACATTCTATATTCCAAAATCTACCATCTATTTAAATATAAGAGCTATCATGCGACTCCTAGTCATAAAAATAGAGAAGAATTCTGTTGGTGCGCAATCAAATCTAGTTCAATTTTATAGATTTCTCAATATCAATTTACTCAGACTTTTTGCAAAAGGGCTCCTAATACAATGAAATTATATTATCTTTTTGTTAATTATACGATGAGCAATTTTGTAGAGATTATGCATTTTCATCAGAAAATAAAAGTGAAAAAAAAAAAGTAAAGATGAGTGACCAACTGAAAATTTTGTAACTTGTTAATTATAGTATAGTGCTATACTTTTAATACTATATATAAATTTAATCTATGAGAGATATATAAAACATATAAATAATATTTTTTATCGATAATCTATCAAATAAATTGATCGACTTTGCAGTTGCCCAAAATTTGCTGGTTCTTCCTTCACCACTCAGAATTATAAGAGATTAGGATGTTGTAAAACAAATAATATCAAATGAAGTTCCATTTTTAATTTTAAATGGTATGTTTGATTAAAGATTTTATTTTATAGGCATTTATTCATCGAGCTTAGCATCTTATCATGTAGCTCCTCCAACTAAAAAATTAACTTGTTCTTGTCAATCAAAGACTTTACTAGACTTGTTTAGAATACCATCTTCTGAATCAGGTACAGTTCATTGTAATTCTCATTGAAATTAAATTAAAAGTAATAGGAAATAATGAGATGAATTAGAAATTAAAATGAATATTTCAATTTTAAGTTAAGCTAAAATGAATTTAATGAAGTATTACTAAATTCAAGTTGGTTATGTAAGTGATTTTATAATATTATTAAGGGTTTCATAGTCAAAGTCAAGGGTTCAAAAGTAAAACTATTAATTGGCGGAAAGATTAAAATATGGATAATATAGCATCTGAGCGATGTAAAGTTTCTAATGATGCTATGAGTCTGGAATCAGATTTGAATCAGGTGAGAGTTCTGCACTTCATTTATCAGAAGAATGTCTTATACCATTAGCTAGTATGTTTTATAACTTTTATCAATACATTTGAGATTATTTTATATCTAAATATATTGTGTTAAATTATATTTTGTCATGAACTTTATTTTAGAATATCAAAAAAAAAACCCTTTCATTATTAATTGAGATGAGAGAAAATGCTTTGAAAATTTTTAAGGCAGTACAGAATTTTTATATCAATAGTTCACACTTTTATTTCGTATTTGTAAAATAATGGTGGAGATTATTTAACCCTTTTTTGATCTCATTGCATTATTTATGCATTTAAACTGGGTTAATTTTGAAAGACCATACACGCAACATAACAAAGTAAATATATAATTTTTTTTTATATTGTTATATTTTAATCTTAAAACAATTTTAAAGTTTTTAGATGCATTAATTTAGATATAAAATTTACTGAATTTGATTTAAATATTCTTTTTTTTTATTATTAATTGGTTATTTATTTTTTTTTGTTAATTGTTTGATGATTTTTTCATATCATTTCATTTTTCAGATTATTCAGTGTTGAGCTACGATCAAAAAAAAATATAAAGGTAAAAAAACGCAAAGGTTCCTCGACAACAAAGATTGCATTTGATAAATTTGAGTATAGTAGTGTAATTTATGGTAAGATCAGTTATACTTATTTGTACTTATTGTTTTATATTATATTTACACATATATAATGTATTGGTGTTATTAAAATTATAGATGTAGTTATGGTCAAATGGAACAATCCTGATCAATGCTCGGTCCAAAAAATTATAGACTATAAAAATTATTATACCTGCAGAGTTAACACTTTCACCAAAATAGCATTAACTTATTGTATTTTTATTTATATATATATGTATATTGTTTTAACAGAAATATCAACTCAAACTAAAAGTTTAAATGTCATTTTTTATGGTTTGAATTTCTTTAAAAGGCGCATTGTTACTTAGCTTTAAAAAACATCTTCAAAACACGTTTTTTTAGATTTGCGTTCTAAACTAAAAAAAGACGCATTTTATGCATTTAGCTTCAACGTATAAAAAACATTTTAAAAGCGTATTTTTATTAGGGATAAATTACGTATTTTCAATACGCATAAATGACGGCTTTTTAACACGTAGTTTGAGATTTGCAATTTATACTATAAAAAGACGTTATTCATACGATTTTAATATGCGTATTTATAACGTTTAAAAAACGTAGTTTTGCCGGCTGGGTAGGTTTAATAGTATTGATGTTTCGTTTTTAAAGTTTGTTGGTGATAATTTATTTGTCACATAAATATAGCTAATATTAATGAAGCTATGGCAATAAACATAATGTTGACACAAAAACTAAAAATCTCAAGTTAAATGGTTCTTCTAAATCTGGTAAGTTTACACTTAATCAATTAAGTTATCAATATTTCTGCTTTTAGTATATAAGTTAAAGAAAAGTTTTTTGCCCTTTACTTTTACTAAGGATTAGATTTACTGAGTTTTTAAAATAAATAAAATAGTTTCTGTGTATAAAAAATATTTGGATTGATAGAGAAGCATTTTAATTATGTAACAAATGTAAAATGAAAATTGACACAATTTTAATTATGTAACAAATGTAAAATGAAAATTGACACAAAAATAAAACTGCACATTATTTAATACATTAAAGTTTTTTTTTTAAATAGTTTTTTTAATTAGTTATTTTTTAAATAGTTTTTACTTTGTTATATGTTTGAGTATTTATATTCTATTTATAACAAATTAAAGATTAAAGGTAGTCAACTGATTATAATACAATCAGTTGACTACCTTTAATCTTGGATTTTTTCAAGATATTTAAGTTTGCATAATTGCCTTATTTATTCAAATTTAATGAACTTTTTTCTTAATGTTATTCATATGTCTTTCAACATTTTTAGTGCTCCCAACACCTTATGCCTACCAGACACAGGTAGTGAATTAAATCCATTTTTTTATTCTCTGCACCCTTGCTGACAAGTATGTGTTGCAGTTAGATAAACATATTTCATCAGGGTATTGCCAATAATGAAGAAGATATTTCAGTTTCAATTTAAATATTTTAAATATTAAATGCTAAATGTTCAATCTTAAAAATGTAATAGTATAATGATATAATTTTTCGAAATGTATAAGATGCTTTAACTTGTAATCATACTGTGGCATCAATTTAAAGTCATCTATTTATAATATAATGTTAAATTAATTTATCACAGCATGTTATATACTTTATTTAGAATCTGTTATGAAGTAAATTAAATATTCAATCATAAATCTCAAGACATGAAATTGGGAATGGAGTTTTGGTCCATAATAATCAAAGTACCACATGTTTTAATAATTATATTTGTAAGTATCTTACACTTGGTTATAATTGTAAAATTTCATTGTGATATTAATTACATTTTAGTTCACAAAGTTATAAAAAATATCCATAACTCTTATTCTAGGTAACTATGATTTGATGTCATGTTAATGGATTCAACTTTTTCATCACTGATAAAAATAAATGTCATTGTAACATGATAGCCATGTTGTATATATGTTGTGACCATATTTTGTAAATATGTTGTTATTATGTTGTATAAGTATATATGTAATAAATTACTAAGTTGTGCATATGTTTATTTTTATTCTATTAAAGTTAAAATGCAAAAACGAATCATGTTGGCGGTTGGATATGAATCGCTGAAAAGCACCATTGTCGAAAAAGATATGAATCAAATCATTGTATAATAATTGTTTTTTGTCGCGTAAAAATATTTTGAAACTCAATTCAGTTTTTTAAATTTATTCATAAAAATTAAAATTGTCAATAACCATGTGTCTAATACATTTTATTGTATTTAAATTAATAAAAAATAAGCCATTTTTTAACCGAAAAATTACAGCTAATTCTGCTAAAAACAACTTCAAATAATTAAGAAAACGGGATCTAAAAGGAAATTATATGGGCTTCAAATAGGATTGCCCAATGGAAACCCATAACAATATACTCGTCCAAGTTAATAACCAATGACAAAATCCCGATGGTACAGGGTAGTAATGGCTAACCGTTGTTCTGCCAGTTCTTGTCCTGCTGTGGCTAACCGCTGTTTTGCCAGCACTAACTAGCCACGGCCGGATCATGAGAAATCCTTCGAGCAAAACGGAGCTTCGCCAACGTCGGCAGCCGCAGCCGGTCCAGCGCGGAAGCCTGCACAGGACCAGTGCTGGACTATTATATCCTTGCTGTCTCGGAAGTTTGATATGGATTGGTGGTAGAAGGACCTTTTTATGATCAACCAAAGATTCAAAGTGCACGTTTTTCTATCCGAACTTCAATGTTCTTTTCGGCTACACTTTCTAGTTCCAGTTTTTAGTTTTTTCACGACTACCCTATTCACAAAGAAAACAGGGTAATTTTGTGTAACCACCTTGCTGTCCAGGTATCATAGAAACTACTTTAAGATCCCCACAAAATATCTACTTGAATTCTTTGTACTTTAATTTGTCCAAGATCAATGCCAAGTTACAATAAGTTTCCTTCAAATGCATTGAGTGACCAACGGGTACTGATGTGTACTTATTCTCGTTGTGAAGTAAAACAGCTTTTATACTTCTTTTTAAAGAATCAGTAAACAGTCTCCAATTTTCAGTTATACGTTGAACTTTGAACATGGACATTAACCCATTGATATTTGAACAATAGACCAGCTCAACATATTGAGAAAAATAAGGCTCAAAATATTTTTCTCTATTTCTATACCAAGCAAAAGAAGTTCCAGATCTCAATAAATTTTTCTCTTGCAGTCTAACTCAGTAGATTGTTTTGAGAGTCCTAAATCTCGGATCAGGTCATATAATTATAATTACAAACAATTCCTATAAGAAAAGCAAACGATGATCTTGTCGATAAATCGCGAAGATATAATTATTTTGTTCTATCTCCACTTTTTATGACATTTGAATTATTAATTACGTTATGTACCTTAAAATAATATTTTTATACTATATTGAAATCTAAGTTATAATCAAAAATGTTACGGAGAAAACATAATTAATATAAATCTTTTTATATGACGTCTCCATGGAACTGCCTAAAAAGCCGAATTCTATAACGCCGAAAAGCCGAAATGCCGAAAAAAAAAGCGTATTAGTAGATCTTCGGTAACCGTAAAAAAAGACAACAAAAGCTAAGTTTCCCCCGGATTTTTGCAAATGCGGGACAGAAGAAAAAGCCAAACTTGCTTCTGTCCTTTTTAACTTTTGCGAATAATAACGGAAAGAGACGAAATTAAAGTTAATGTTTATAAAATTATTTTTAAATTTGTTTGCTAATTTCATATTTAATAGTAGTATCGAGAGGATTTGCATAAAAATTGTTAACTAATTAAATTTATAAAATTTTTAATGGAATTATTGATAACGACTTTGGTGAACCATCAACCAAACGAATTTCTAGATAAATAATTACAAGAAAGCTGTGTTAAGAAAAAAAACCTTTGTTGCTGTGTAAGAGAACCAACCGGTACACTACAACAATTTTAAGCAAACCTTGTCTACAAGCAGAGAGCATATCTTGTGATAGAGAGCATCTCTTGTGATATCAATTCTTGTTACTCGAAAATATTCTATGCGGGCCTCAAACTCATCCTTGCACACTGAGCAACATTGACGCTAGATATCTTTGAAGGTCCCCACTAATAACTAGCATCTTTCGCAAATATTTTTAAAACTATTGTGGGCGATGTTAAACAGATCAAAACATTTTGAAATATTGCAAATGACAGAACAAAATGTAGCATTTAGCTTTTTTGGTCTCAGTTCAAGACTTTTGAAAGAGTTTTTATATATCCTGGTTTTGAATCAAATCAATTATTTAATTATACAGAAAAAAGTAATATTTACGTTTTAAAGTACGCTGGAATTAATTAATGAATCATCTTAGCAGTACTTATTCAAAAATAATTAATCAAAGGATTAGTCACCTTGAGTATGCTCAAAGACTTTAGAAATGCAAAACTGACAGCAAACATTTGTAGAAAATTAAGGTGGCTTTTTGTTAGAATTCATTTGTGTTAGAATCTAATGAAAAAAATGTTTTTCTATTGGTAAGGTATCAAATAAAAAATTTTGAGTGCAGTAAAAAAGAATGTATTTGGAATGCTTTTATTTTTTTAAAATGAGCAGTGGCGGTTAAAGTCAACTGAGAGACCTAAACAGTAAACGTAGCTGCGCCACGTTCAAAATTTTGGCAACCTTTCCTTCTAAGTTGCCAGTGACTTAAAAGTTTTCTTTAGTTATTATTACTTAGTTAAGTTTCTCCAAAAAGCCGTAGAGTTCTTATCACAGAACACAGCAGAGGAGCATTTATCTAAAGTTTTCTGTCCTTTTAATGACGGTTATTGGGCTAGAGCCGGAATGAAATCTCCTCGTTCTGACTTATAATTCTTACCACTGCGTCACGGCTTCTCTTAATTAAAAGCCGTTAAATAAAAATTTATTTTCATTTTATCTAAAAATGATAACAAATGTTATTATTTTTAGATAATATACTAACAAATATTTGATTCCCTAATATATCAAGCATTTTTCTGAGTTAATATTTAGATATCAATTTCTTGATTTTTTGTATCTATAAAACATGCATCTTTACCATGTTTAGGTGAATTTCTAGAGATAATTACTTGCTCAAACAACCTAAACAAGTAAGAGTTATACTGCCACATCAGGGATTACTAAAACCATACATTTATTTTTATGTAGTCACTTATT